TAGCGCTTCTTTTTCGGTCTGGATTTCCGGCTGGGCGTGGGATTCAGGATTCGCCCCCCACTCCCCCCCCTCCCTAACCAAAGAACCTAAACCCTAAACCCAAAGCCCCAAACCCCAAATCCTAAACCCTACACCCTAAACCAACCCTGAACCCTGTACCGAAAAGCCCTTCTCTTCTTTCGAGCACCTCACCTCATGCTTCGCATGCCGCACACCTTTACGGGCATTTCCCCAAATAGGGGGTACCTTTAGTATACAGCCAAATAGTACAATCCTGATTATAGGAACTCCCCCAAAAACGTACCCTAAACCCTGAACGATAAACCCTAAACCCTAAACCCTAAACCCTAAAGGCTAGACCCTAGACCCTAAACCCCAAACCCTAAACCCTAAACTCTAAACCCTAAACCCCAAACCCTAACCCCTAAACCCTAAACCCTAAACCACCAGACGTCTCTGAGGTTGACAGCATGCAGGCCGCTTTCAACCTCATCGACGGTGGCGAGCCGGGATCCGTCTCGAATTCGGAGCTGCCAGACGGCACGGGTTTAATATGGGGAGATTTAGGGTTTAGGGTTTAGGGTTTAGGGATATGCGAGGCTTGTTTAATACTTAGAATCGTGTTTTGGGGGGTTACTATAGGTGTGCTTACAGATAGGGACCATTAGGGATACTATTCGTAACTATTCCGACCCCTATGGTAGGGTTTCGGGACTTAGGGTTTTCCGCAAGCCTTGAAAGCCCCAACTAAACCCTAAACCATCCAAGCTTAAGCCATAACCTCGGCCCGACGACTGGATCAAATGACTACAAAATGGCTCTGATGTGGGTTTTGGGTTTAGGGTTTAGGGTTTAGGGTTTAGGGTTTAGGGTTGTGTTTTGGTTGCTTTGGTTGCAGGGGCAGGGTTTGGGGGTTTATGCCTTCGTATACACGCGCTACCGCACCCCTCAACACTTCTTGCCACGCAAAGCCTATAAACACTATTAACTATTAACACCCTAAAGCCTAAACCCTATAACCCTATAACCCTAAACCCCCAGCCCTAAACCGTAAACCTCAAGCCCCTACACACCTAAACCTCTAAAACCTGACCAGTCCTTCAGGGCCCCTCCCGACAAGCCTTTGTGAACACCCTAAGCCCTAAACCCCACACCCGCCTAAACCCTAACCCCAAAGCCCCTAAACCCCTAAACCCTAAACCCCTAAACCCGACACCCTACACCCTTAACCCTTAAGCCCTAAACCCTAAACCCCAAACCCCCTAAACCCTAACCCCCTACCCCCCTAAACCCTAAACCCTAAACCCTAAACCCTAAACCCTAAACCCTAAACCCTAAACCCTAAACCCTAAACCCTAAACCCTAAACCCTAAACCCTAAACCTAACCCTAAACCCTAAACCCTAAACCCTAAACCCTAAACCCTAAACCCTAAACCCTAAACCCTAAACCCTAAACCCTAAACCCTAAACCCTAAACCCTAAACCCTAAACTAAACCCGAAGGCTTACGCTCCGGGAGCTTGAGCAGGGGCTGAAGTCCATGGGCTGCCCCTCGGTTCTCAGGAGTTGAGCTTTCTTTCTTTTAGGGTTTAGGGTTTAGGGTTTAGGGTTTAGGGTTTAGGGTTTAGGGTTTAGGGTTTAGGTTTTAGGGTTTAGGGTTTAGGGTTTAGGGTTGAGGGTTTAGGGTTTAGGGTTTAGGGTTTGGGTGCCTTTCCCTTTTTCGTTTCTTGGCAGCGTTTCGGGTTTAGAGTTTTGAGGCTTTGCAGTCTAGAGGGTTTAGGGTTTAGAGGCTGTAGCAGGCTTAGAGGATGTTCAGGGTTTAGGGTTTAGGGTTCAGGAAGCACCCTCTACACCCCACACCCTAAGCCCGAAGCCCCAAACCCTAGACCCGAAACCCGAAACCCCAAACCCTGCGACTTAAACCTCTAAACCTCTAAAACCTAAACCTCTAAACCTCTAAAACCCTCTACAACCTCTAAACCTCTAAAACCTCCAAAACCTCTTAAACCTCTAAACCCTATAACTTTCCCAAGAGCTGCTCAGGCCAGAAGTTTGCGGGATCGGACGAGTCTGCCCTTGGGCTCGAAGGGGGCGCTCAGGTTGGGTTTGGGGTTCAGGGCTTAGGGTCTGAGGGTCTGAGGGTTTAGGGTTTTTGGGGCTGAGGGTTTGGGGTTTAGGGTTTTAGGGTTTAGGGTTTAGAGGCTCAGGGTTGAGGGATTTCGGGCTTAGGGCTGAGGGGTTTATGCTTTCGGGTTGAGGGTTTTAGGGTGTTGAGGGTTCAGGGTTTCTGGCTTAGGGTGGGGAGGGCTTCCTACTCAGGCACGGATAGAGAAGGTCTTCCGCTACCTCGATCCCGGCGGTGAGGGCACGGTGTCGATGCAGGCTGCCCTTTGCAGCCCGGGGGGGTTAGGGTTTGGGGTTTAGGCTTGAGGGTTCAGGGTTTAGGGTTTCAGATGCCCTTTGTCACTACATACTACGACTACTTACAAGAACCCTCCTTATTGAATCGGATTGAATCCTAGTCCATAGGCCTTTCAGACTTCGGGTTTTGGTGCATAGCCCTGGAACTATTATTATGAAGACTTGGATCCTAAGTGTGGCTTTCGTGCTTCCGATTATGGGTGCGCGGAGCTTTGGACTTCTGTCTTATGAGGTTTTTTTGTCCTGAAGGTTATACCTCTTTTGCGGGGGGATAGCTGAGAAGCGAGCCGAGCTTCTACCATACTAACGAAGATGTTCATACACAAGAAGTTCTCCGGGGGCACCCTTCGTTTCTTGACTCCCATTTTCCCAAAGCAGCATTTGCTGCAGAAGTGGTTGGCGCTGATTCCCACGAGAATGAACCCTCGTGTAGTACAACGCGAGGAGTTAGTTAACAGATGCTTCAGATAATGGTCTACAACTCTTGACTCTTCACGTGACGCAGTGACTTTGTAAGGGCCCTAGACCCTAAGTCCTAACCCTAAGTCCTTAACCTTCTTGTGCAAGATGGGCCGTTTGGTCAGTGTAGAAGCTGCCGCTGTGTGTGCTTCTTAGTTCACGGGGCGAGCCGTTACGTTCTCAGAAACCCCGTTAGGTTCCCCCCCCATACTGAAGGCTAGTTAGGGATAATTAAGCCTAATTGTAGTACACATGGGGATAGTCGAGGGAACCCCGGAAAGCAAGGTTATAACCAGAGTTGACCGGCCTACTTGTAACCCTACTTATAATGCCATGAACCTCTAAACCCCAACCCCTAAACCCTACACCCTAAAACCTAAACCCTAAACCCTAAAACCTACTTACCCATGAACCTCCAAGGTGCGTTTACGGGCTAGTATAGAGGGGGGTAGCAGGGGAACCCATGATACTTAGGGTACTGCTATAGCAGGGGAACCCATGATACTTAGGGTACTGCTAGCTCCACTCATACGCACCCATGAGCCGCCAAGTACGGCGAAGGACAACACTGAACTTCACCACAGCCTCGTTCTCTCCTAAACCCTAATCCCTGAACCCTTTGTCCTAAACCTTTTGTCCTAAACCCCAAACCCTAAACCCTGTATGAACTTAGGATCTAGAGAGCCATTGAAAGCATCGGTGCCTGACTCAAAGTTTGCAAACATGGATATTGACCCGTAAACCCTAAACCCTGAACCCTAAACCCTAAACCCTAAATGGAGGGTACCCAAAAAGGGACCTTAATTTGGAGAACTGACCTCCTGGATTTTTGCTCGCGCACAGGAATGGATGGTGCTCGATCAGCTTTGGAAAGAGTTTGCCTCTCGCCTGGAAGATCGTGAGTTTGCAAAATCACGGCACTCCCTTCCTTTCTTTCTTGCTCATTCTCCTGCTGTTTCTCTCTCCATCTCTGTCTCCATCATCGTCTCAGCTCTCCCTCTCCCTCTACCTCTCCCTCTCCCTCTCCCTCTCCCTCTTCCTTTCCCGCTCTCTCTCTCTCTCTCTCTCTCTGTGGCTTTGTGACTTTGACTGCGTCTCCGTCTCGTTACACCCCCCAAATGACAGCTTTAGCATCCCAAATCTCCCATGCCGCCCCCCCTCCCCCACCCTGGGATTATTCTTCAAAGCCCAGCCCTAAACCCTGAACACTGAACCCTAAAACCCTAGACCCTGAACTCTCAACGATCCACCCTAAGCCCTAAACTCTGAAACCTAAACTTCTAAGTCCTAACCCGAAACCCTACACCCTAGTAAACCCCAAAAAGTCGGAAACATTTTTCAGGACAAATAGTGCTGGGATTCCCTATACTTTACTCTTAGGGTTTGAGGCTAATGTTAACCTCACATCTATAAATGGGGTGGTAATTGCAATATTCGCCGGGCCAGCGGGCCCCAGCCGAAGACTACTTTCCATTACGGGTGGTTTCCGGGCCGAAATCTATAAACAAGTCTCTATAGGGGGGTCCGGTGAGAATAATAATGCGGTGACAGCTGCAATATTTTTCTGGCCAGGAATGCAATTTTTTCTAAAAATGGCTTAAGAGTTCCATTGCAGAGAAGACTTTTCAGCTGAGCTGGCTTGAAAGAGCTCCGCAGCAGAGCAAAAGGAGCTGCAAAGAGCAAGCAGAACCCTTCAAGACAAAGCAGAGCAGACCCTGACAGCTGACCCCCCCCAGACCCCCAGAAGACCCCCAGATTCCAACTATTGACACCCCCTCTTTTTTTTGACCCCTCCAAACCCCGGGGACCAAAACAAGATTGGGAGGGGGGGGGGTTATTAAAGCGACGTTAGCATTATTGAGTTTCCAACTTTTTGGCTTCTACTATACACACCCTGCACCCTACACCCTACACCCTACACCCTAAACCCTAAACCCTAAACCCTAAACCCTAAACCCTAAACCCTAAACCCTACTAAACCCTAAACCCTAAAACCCTAAACCCTACGCAATGGATCGCTGAGCCTGGAAGCCGAGGACTTGACGATTCGTGAGTTCGTGCAGTTCCTGCAGTACGCATTCGGCGAAAACCTGGAGGCTGGGGTTTAGGGTTTAGGGTTTAGGGTTTGGGGTTTGGGGTTTAGGGTTTGGGGTTTGGGGTTTAGGGTTTAGGGTTTAGGGTTTAGGAAACCTGGAGGCTTCTCTCATCTTTCTTTGCGGGGGTTGATAGGGTTTGGGGTTTTGGGTTCCGGGTTTAGGGTTTAGGGTTTTTGGGTTCAAAAGCGGGGGGGAGGGTTCATAGGGTTCGTAAGGTTTAGGCTTTGGTGTATTCGGGTTTCGGGATAGCTCTCTGTGGTTCACGAGGGTTCAGAGGGTTTAGGATTTAGGGTTTAGGGTTTAGGGTTTTAGGGTTTAGGGTTCAGGGTTTAGGGGGCTTAAGGGTTCAGGGTCTTAGTGTTTCGGGTGTCGGGTTTAGGGTAGTATAGGCGGTTGCGGGAATGAGGGTTTCGGGCAGTTTCGTGTTTACGGTTTGTGGCATCAGGTTCTAGAGTGTTAGAGCTCAGGGCTTCCCCCGAGTTCTAGGAGAATGCCATCGCCATGGTACCAAGATTTTTGGTTGGTGGATGCCGGGCTGAGGAGTTTAGGGAACACATCTACTTGAGTTTAGGGTTTGTACTGGTTAATAGGGTTTGGAGTTTGGGGTTTGGGGTTTAGGGTACCCTAAACCCTAAACCCTATAAACCCTATAAACCCTATAAACCCTATAAACCCTATAAACCCTATAAACCCTCTAAACCCAAAAAACCCTCTAAACCCTACAAACCCTATAAACCCTATAAACCCTAAACCCTAAACCCTAAACCCTAAACCCTATAAACCCTAAACCGATCAAACTCTCCGAAGGACGCCTGGGAAGCGCTGGATGACGACGAGAGTGGCGAGTTGACGGAACAGGAGTTCGACGAGGCCCTTTCTGCGCAGAGTGGGGGGGGACGAAGGGGGCGGGGGTGAGGGGGGGAGAAAGGATTTTTTGGGTTTGGGGTTTGGGGTTTAGGGTGTGTGGGGTGTAGGGTTTGTGGGCTTAGGGTTGGGGGGTGGAGAGAGGGTTTTCGGGTTTGGGGTTTGGGTGTAGAGGTTACAGGAATTGCGGGCAAGATTTCAAGAAGACGATGTCACATGTTCCAACGGGCATCATACCTAAACAAGCCTGCATCACGCAAAAAACGCGCAAGATGCGCGCGGCACAGAACCCACTGTCTGGGCCTTTCGAAGTCTGGGCCAGGTAGGCCCTTGGGATATCTTGTGTTCCCCTTTATTGGGTTTAACAGGACTCGTTCTGTGTTTCAGAGGGTTTACAGGGCCAACCTCGAAGTGGTCTGTCATGGAGAATCACGGATATGTCGGACTAAATAAACATCAATAGCGGGCACTTTTGTGTGCCGTTTGATCGAGACAACACAGCGGGCAAAGATGCCTCCCTCGACAATGCAGCGGTCATGGCGTTAGGGTCCGGCCCATGCCACACCTCGTTGTTCCGTGCACGCTTGACTGAGGCTCTGAAGAAGAAAGGCTACTTCGGACCAGTGCGAGTTGTCTTTGCGCGACTCGGCCGAAGGGCCGAAGTGACGGGATTTCCCGAGACCCCCGCAGCTACCACCCCGTCGCCCAAAGTCTCTATGAACAGCTCGTCAGCGCAAGTAGAATCGCTTCAAAACAAGGGCCCATTTTTTTTCTCGGATGCCCGCTCCCAAACCTTTGGGCCATGAGAATGGTCTCAGGGTTTAGGACCGTACTGGCTCCCATGTAAACCCTAAACCCTAAAGCCTAAACCCCTAAACCTAAACCCTAAACCCTAAACCCTAAACCCTAAACCCTAAACCCTAAACCCTAAACCCTAAACCCTAAACCCTAAACCCTAAACCCTAAACCCTAAACCCTAAACCCTAAACCCTAAACCCTAACTAAACCCTAAACCCAAGTGGTATACAGAGGCTCCCTGATTTTGGAAAGCTCCCATTTGGAGGAACCTGCAGCTTTCCACCAGGGTTTAGGGTTTAGGGTTTAGGGTTTAGGGTTAGGCTTTGTCAGAGCCTGGTTTTACCTACCGGGAAGCTGAAAAGGGATTCATACTCGCGTGGTGATGATTGAATATTGGAGTACACAACCCCAATTGTGGTTTATTCAACCCTATATAGGCCCGAAACCCAGAACCCCTCAACACTATTCTTGTTTGTGCATACAAGGTCCATTTGTAGGCATCCTACTAAACATGGTACCTATCTAGGGCCCCCGAGCTTACATCCATAGTGCATGCATTTTCGTTGGGTTGAGGGTTTGGGGTTTAGAGCTTCGACTTAGGGCGGTTTCCCGAAACTCTACATCCCTGAGCCCAAAAGGTCGTAGGAAACAGGGCTTACATTCCTGTTATGAGTGAGTTCATAAGGTATGTAAGGTGTCTTTTTTGGGGATACTTGTACAATAAAACCCTAAAAGCCTAAACCCTAAAACCCCGAAAACCCTGTACCCTAAACCCTAATTCCTACTTCCGAGGTTGTTGGACAACACAGATGATGGGAACATCTCCTTCGACGAGCATCTCGGTTTGAGGGGGCGCCTGTGAGTTTAGAAACCCTAAGTCCCTTACTTTTATACCCCCCCCCCCCCCAAAAAAAAAAAGCCTATCTAATTCTTCAGGCCCCTATATAAATTATCCCCTGAGCCCTAAACCAAGCTCTGTGTCTAGGTGCGCTTGGAGCCACTGCGAAGTGTGATGGGGCGGGAAAAACAAAGCAACCCCTAAACCCTAAACAGCCCTTCAATCGCCCGGCGGATGTGCACTTGTGGAGGTTCATGGTACTTATTAACCGATTATAACTGTACTTATGACCCACTTATAAGCCCCTTATGTGCCCTGATATGGTTATAAGTACAGTCATATGTGCAGTTGTGATTGGGGATCCTAAGCCCTAAACCCTAAATCCTAAACCCTAAACCCTAAACCCCAAACCCTAAGGTCAATGAGTACCATGAACCTCCAAGCAAGGTTCAGCGTCCTGGAGGGCTACAAGCCCTAGCCGTGCGACCTGGGCAGTGTTGCTCTAAAGTGATGGTCCCTTTGTGGGAGGTCCCTTTGTGGAGTTAAGGGATTAGGGCTAACGGTTAAGGGCTTCGGGTTCAGGGTTTCAGGCGTTAAGGGTTTAAGGGTTTTTGGGTTGTAGGGTTTTGGGTTTTAGGGTTTTAGGGTTTTTGGGTGGTTTTTGGGTTTCAGGGTTTAGGGTTTTAGGGTGTTTGGGTTGTAGGGTTTTTGGGTTTTAGGGTTTTGGCGCTTTAGGGTTTTAGGGTTTTAGGGTGGAGCGTTTGGGGGTCTTTATATGAAGCTCCGTAGCATCATAGGAACGTCAATCCCTAAGGGTCCATGTACCTAAACAGGGAATACTTGGGCGTTTAAGGTGCCTCCTATTTGGGGACTTTCGGGCCCAAGTACATAATAGTGAGATACATGGACCCTTAGGGTTTGTCCCTAAACCCTAAACCCTAAACCCTAAACCCTAAACCCTAAGCTGTTAAAGCTTCAAAGGGGGACCATGATTTCGAGGACCTGTACAGGTAGGAGGCTGCTGGCTGCCCTGTGACTTCCCGGACCTTTTGAAGCATGCAAGTTTCATTGAAGGAGCGGTTCTTCGTTTAGGGTTTAGGGTTTAGGGTTCAGGGTTTGGGGCTTGTGGTTTAGGGTTTAGGGGTTAGGAATCCTTCAAGTCTTCGTCTAAGGCACAGGCATCCTCGATTAAGCTCGTAAGAAGCAAGATCCACTCTGCTGAGTCCAACTACTCCGTACTTGCGGAAGATGAAACAGTTCCAAAAAATCCTGACTCTATACTCTATACTTTTCCTTCAGGGTCAAGGGTTTAGGGTTTAGGGAGGCTCCAAGGACTCTTATTTCAGGGTTCTTGGGCCCAAAGGCCTTATTCTATAAGGTTTTTGGGCTATTTTGAGCCAAAGGGTCTAAACATGTTGAACGCACCTTGGGTTCAGGGACATAGTGGTAGGGCTCAGCGTTTTAGGGCTTCATAGGGCTTTAGACTGTAGACCCTACACCTACCGGAGCCTGATTGCCTAAGGGAATATACATGCCCCTTAAGATGGTCCCGTACTAAACCCTAAACCCTAAACCCTAAACCCAAAACCCTAAACCCTAAACTCTAAACCCTAAACCCTAAACCCTAAACCCCAAACCCTAAACCCTAAACCCTAAACCCTAAACCCTAAACCCTAAACCCTAACCTTCCTTAAGGGAATCCGAAGTATGAGCCTTTGGGTTTTCTGGGGTATGCATGAGCCGGTTTAGGGTTTAGGGTTTAGGGTTTAGGGTTTAGGGTTTAGGGTTTAGGGTTTAGGGTTTAGGGTTTAGGGTTTAGGGTTTCCCCAGGTAAGGTCCCATATTCAGGGACCAGGAAACTAGCCGAAGATGAGTGAGTCGGCCGAACCACCCCATGAAGAGGGATGAAGGGGTTTAGGGTTTAGGGTTTAGAGTTTAGGGTTTAGGGTTTAGGGTTTGGGGTTTAGGGTTTAGGGGTCTTCTTGTCGCCGGGCTGCTCGACGTGTACACCTTAATATTTGAAATCCGATGGGAACCCCCAACAAAGAACCCCAGGAAAACTTGACAGACCTCGCGGTCGTAGCATACACAGGTATACCCACCCTGAACCCTAAGCCCTAAGCCCTAAACCCTAAATCACCCCTAGTATCGTCCTGGGGTTCCCCCTGCTTGCGCCCCTTAAGGGGGCCCAGCTGAAGAGCCGAACAGAGGAGTCGTGGCGGGCGGAAGAGGTCACAGTGGAGCATTTAGCCTTGGGCTTGCTTTCTTCTTTCAAGTGTAGGGTTTAGGGTTTAGGGTTTAGCCCCCGGAACTTCGGCGCAAGCCATCACTCCTCGGAGGGCCTCAAGCCCAGAGTTTCTTTGGGGGAGATACCCCAGAGGGAGGGTAGGGCCTTAGTGTAGGTTGGTTAGTGCTTCCTGACACCCTAAACCCTAAACCCTAAACCCTAAATCCTAAACCCTAAACCCTAAACCCTAAACCCTAAACCCTAATAAACCCTAGCCCTAAAAGGGTCTTTCAGTGTGGGGTAGGCGCTGAATTGAAGGCTTCTGCATCTGCTCATGTGTAGGGTTTTGGGGATAGGGGTAAGTGAGCCCATGTGAGCTACGCCCCAAACCTCACCCCCCAAAAAGGGTCCAGCGCTTTGAAGGCTTTCGTCCTCTGGAACAATGATTCTTGCAGCCCTAAACCCTAAACCCTAAACCCTAAACCCTAGTCCCCTTTTGGGGCAAGCCTCTCCGTAGCTCCCGGCCCTGGCTAACGCGACATCCCCCCCGGCGGAGCTTTCAAGAAGCCTCGCGGGGGGGGTGAATACGGAGGATGGGCCTGCGACGAAATCGGCCTGGCCACCTGAAGGGTTTAGGGTTTAGGGTTTAGGGTTTAGGGTTTAGGGTTTAGGGTTTAGGGTTTAGGGTTTAGGGTTTAGGGTTTAGGGCTAAAGGTTAAGGGCTTTAGGGTTTCGGGCTTAGGGTTTAGGATCTTTAGACCGTCAGTCCTGTCGCCTAAGGCCCCTAAACCCCAAAGCTCAGGCCTTTAGGCTAGCATTGCGAAGGGCGGTATTCAGTCGACAAAAAAATGGGCACTCGGGAGCAAGGGACAAAAGGAGGGACCCCTATCAGGGATCATATGCACAATGTAGGGGCTACTTAGGTATATAGGGACTCTACAAGGCATTCAGAGGGGTTGAAAAATCGGGGATCAAGGCAGGACCTTTGGTAGACTTGATTGTTTCCCTTCTTGGGCTTACGAAGGTCTCATTTTAGTGTGTAGGGTTGGCCAAGTTCCTACCACGAGCTTCCGTTTTTGTTGTCACGCAGGCTATGAGGGCTCTTGGGTGCTAGGGATTTGGGGTTTAGGTTTGGGGGCCTTTTAGGGCTTGAAACCGCGAATCCCTAAACCCCCTAAACTACGTAACGCCCCCCCCCCCCGCCCTCTTCAACAAAAGGAAGAGAGAGAGAGAGAGAGAGAGAGAGAGAGAGAGAGAGGGGGGTTTTAGGGTTTAGGGTCTCTAAAACCCCAAGCACTAACCCCTAAACGCTAAACCCTAAACCCTAAACCCTAAACCCTAAACCCTAAACCCGTTTGGGCTTAAGGCCTCAAGGGATGTTGTGGCCAAGAGAGCCCTCGTCGCTCAGCGTCCTCCCGGCTATCTCTCGCGACGACCAGCTCAATGCTCACCGCCGCGGAGAAAAGAGAGCTTGCAAAGGGGGTTAAGCTTTATAGGGTTTAGGGTTTCGGGTTTAGGGTGTAGGGTGTAGGGTGTAGGGTGTAGGGGTTAGGGTTCGGGGTTCAGGGTTAAGGGTTCAGGGTTCAGGGTTAAGGGTTCAGGGTTCAGGATTCCGGGTTTAGGCTTAGGGTGGGTATTTATATAGGGTTCAGGCTTGATGATCCGGGGTTAAATTACAGGCTAAGGGTTAAATTGCACGCCTTTGGTACCCTTAACATGTTCGTCTGTAATTCACTGTAGCAGACTCAGAACCCCAAAGCACCATGTTTTGGATAGTGTTGCTTGTAGCTCGCATGGGGCATCTGCACCAACACCACAACCTGTGAGGTTCGGTCAGGGGGTTTTGATCGGGGCCCTAAGCCCTAGACCCTAACCCTAAACCCTAAACCCTGAGCCCTGAGCCCTGAGCCCGAAACTTTGAGGACTATTCCTAAGCCCTATCCTACAGAACCCAGACCCGCAAAAAAAGTAGGGTCCGGCCCCAAACACGGGGTTTCGCAGTCAAACCCGGGGTTGGGCACGGGTAAGCCCAGGGTTTATGCGGTACCAAGGCGTGGCCAGGGGTTTGGAATTGAAACCCGGGGTTTCGGGTGGTTTCAGCTCCAAACCCGGGGTTTCGACACAGACCCGACATTTTTTCAGGGTTTGGGTTCCCCAAGTAGGGCCTAAACCCTAAACTTTTGAGGACCATTCCTAAGCCCTAGACCCTAAACCTCAAAACCATGGAGAACTATTCCTATTCCCTAGACGCTAAACCTTAAACTTTCAGGACTATTCTCTAATTAAATCGACTTTGGAGTCCTCCAGAAGGAGACCCTACCCAAGGAACCCGTCAATACTGCATTTACGGAAGATGCCTTATAAATCGCACCTAGGGGCTCTAGGTATGTTCCACCCTAAGCCCCAAACCACACACCGTAAACCCTAAACCCTAAACCCCTCAACCGAGCAAAAACAGAAAACTCACACACACACACACACACACACACAAGAGATGAAGAACATCTCAATTCCAACGCTGGTTGCGGCAGGCTGAAGCGCAGAAGTTGCAGCAGGAGTTGGTTTGGTTTGAGGATTAGGGATGTGTTTTGCTTTTGTCTCATGTTTTGGGGGTGTTTTGGGGTCAGGGCTTAGGCCAGGTAGTTCTCTGAAAAGCAGGTCCTGTGTAGGGATCCCTACAGAGCACGGTACCATTGTTCCAAGAGGACCTGTCTGGTGTTTAGGGTTTAGGGTTTAGATGGGTTTAGGGTTTAGGGTTTGGTCTAGAAACAGCCTACAAAGCGCACCTTCGTTGGGG